GGGGCCCCACTATTGTGCCTGACATTTCAAAAGTAAACAGAAAGCCGTTATAAAATGCTGTTACTTTCCAGCCCCCCTATCACCCCAGCAAAGAACAAAAAGAGAAAACCAAGGAAGGGAGGAAGGAAGGGAAGGAAAAAGGGGGAAAGAAAAGAAACAAGCATTTATTAAGCACCTACTACCACTGTGCTAAATGCTTTATAAATATTATGTCATTTATAGGCTGATTGATTGACAGCTGATATCGACACACTGCTTTAAAGTCTGCAAAATTCTTTATATATATTATCTTCACTGACCTTCCCCAAACGCTACGAGGTGCTGCTATTATTATAATACCCATTTTATAGATGCAGGGACTGAAGCTCATAAGGGAGTGAAGTGGCCCAGAGTCACAGAGTACCTGTAGTGGGACTTCAGCCCATGTCTTCCCAGGTCTACTACTCTAGCTAATGAAGATCACAGTAACCTTGTAAGGTTACCAGGGTGGAAAACATTATTCTTTGTTTTACAGATGAAGAAACTAAGGCTCAGAAATTCACACAGTTCAGTAAAATAATAATTATGATAATAAAATGAAACAAAGCCCTCATGTTTAACCCAGCACACATACACATAAGGTTTGCAAACAAGCTTTCTATACAGCAACCCTGTGGGGTAAGTAGGCGGGCAGTTTCCTTTGAGCACAGGACCTTGAGATAGAAAGCTGGCCTTAGAAATCCTCTAGTCCAACCTCATCCTTCTAGAGACAAGGACCCTGAGGTTCAGAAAAGTGAAATATTTGTTTTACGTCTTCCCCCTCCCTGCAACTGCAGCCAGGACTCGAACCTAAATCTCCATCCCCCAGGCTCTTTCCATCACATCGGCCTTCTCTGAGCAAGTGGAAAAGCTGAGTCTACCCTCATCCTTCTGACTTCAGATGGAGAGCCCTCTGTGCACCAGTGAGGCCGCCCTACCATTCAGAAGAAGCTTGGACAGCCAAGCTCTTCATATTGGGAGTGCAGGGATGGGGGTGGGGGGAGAGCTTTCTAACCCGTCTTCACTGAGCTACCTAAGTGTCTGAAACCTGGCCAGACTGACTCCAAAGAACAGCTCCAAGGCCAGAAACTGGATATTCATAGTCTGCTTTTAAAAGCCTCACATCACAATGAAAAAACACAGCTCCAACACAGAGGAGCCTGCCTCGGTCTCTCTCCAGGGCCTTGGGGCCGAAGCCATAGGCCTGGGTATGTGTGTGTATGTGTGTGTGTGTGTGGTGGGGGGTGTCTGAGGGCCGGGCCAGGGCTCCTCACATACGTGGCTTATGGCCGGGGAGCCAGCTCTTCTACTGGGCTAATAGCTTTCACATGACAGGTCTGTAAAACACATGTTCCTAGAGACAATTAAAAACGCCTAAAAGCTGAGAAAGCCGGGAGAGTAGCAATGTCTGGCTTGTCCCTTTGCCCTCTCGAAACCCGGGCAGAAGCTGTTATTTTTTCTTCCTATTTTCTTCATTTACCACCTCCCCTCCCACCCCCTCCAAGCAGGACGGGAGTGTTTCTGAGCCTCCTCTACATGAACCGTGATGGGAAGCAGAAGAAAGGCTGGGCTTAAGAGCCTTCTGCTGGGTTCTTTCTCTTGGCAGGCCTCAGAAGCCAGCTACTTTTCTTGGTTCTCATTCTTTTCCCATCCCTGTTGTGTGATATTCATTCTCTCTCCCCTCCCTCTTCTCTCATTAAGATCTGTGGTTTCGATATGGGGACTGCCAATCCAATTCTGACATCTCTCCAATTAAAGGGTAACCTCAGATCTCTTTCTTTGATAGGAGAGGGATAAATATGGTCCTCCAGGGGTGTGGGAAGATGCCCCATGCTGGGCCCCTTGAGAGGTTAGAGGTAGAGCCTACTCTTTTCAAGGGTGAAGTCTCAACCCCCAGATTCCAAAGGAGGTACCCATCTTTATCATCAATGAGATACGTAAAGATAATACTTCTGCCATCATGACTGGGAGACAGAAACAGAGAGCTGAGCATCTGGGTCTCGAAAGACTAATATTTCTTTTTCTTTTTTTTTTTTTTGGTGAGGCGATCCAGGTTAATAGTGACTTGCCCAAGGTCACACAGCTAGTTAAGTGTTAAGTGAGACTAATATTTCTTCCTACTCTTGGCCTTTAGAACAGTGGTTGGTGGAGAGACTGTGGACAAAAGAACACCCAAATTCCATTTTCCTGAGTCATTTTTTCCCCTTCTTCTGGCATAGCAGGGCTTAGGGGAGTCTAAAAGAGCTGGGTTCAAATCCCTCCCCTGACACATTTGATATGTGACCTCATTTGTCTGAGTCTCAACTTCTTCATCTATAAAATGGGAATAATAATGCCAGCCATACCTACCTTAGAGGGCTATTGGGAGGAACAAATGAGATGAGGCAGCATGATGTAATAGAGGGGGCACTACAAGAAAAGTGAGGAGGATATGGGTTCAAATTCTGCCATATACATTTAACAACTGTCTGATCCTGAGCAAATTACTTAACCTCTCTAAGCTCAGTTGGTTCATCTGTAAAACAAGCCCTCTGATGCCCCTTCCAACTCTAAGACCCAATGATCTGGGGGAGGTATTTAAGCTTTAAAACACTATATAAATGTCCCCTACTGGCCAAACAGGACTCCTCACTGGTGCTTAAACACACCCTCCCTGTTTGAGGTCACCCTTATGTGGAGCATTAAGGTGTACAAAGCCCTTTGCCCTCAAAGGTCCCATGACAGAGGCAGTATATACATCATTAACATTTTATAGATGAGAAAGAAAGCTGACGTTCAGAGGTGAGGTGACTTGCCCAGGGTAACACACCTAGTCTTCCTGTATCCATGTCCAGTGTTCTGCCCATTGTATCTTTGAGCCCTGATCCTGCAACATCCCTACCTCACTCCACTCCCCTCCCTTCCCCTCCCCTGTCTCTCTCTCTCTTTCTCTCTCTCTCACTCACACAGACGCACCCCACTTTCTTTAACCCTCTGGCAGAGAGCAAGCCCTTAATAAAGGCTTTACTGCTCTGTTTATTTACTTATCTCTGTGTGTGTGTGTATATGTATATCTTTATGTATAGATACTGCCTGTCTGTCTGTCTATCTATATCTGAGCCTGAGTTTCCTTCTCTGGCATTAGTGGATAACAAAACTCCAACTCCCCCTTTCCCAGAATTATTGGAAGGAAAATGGGGGCAGTCATCATCTCCACAGCAGGGTCTATGGATACAAAGCCCCTTCCTTACCCCTCATGGGATTCTCAGGACATTTCTAAGAAGCAGGATCAGAGTTAGGAGAAACCTCAGAAGTCATCTGTGCCAAATCTCTTTATTTTACAGATTGGGAAACTAAGGCCCACAGAGGTGGCTGTGGTAGAGACAGGTTTGGATCCCAAGCCCTCTAAATCCAGTTCTCCCTCCCATGTGCCAAGATGCTTCTCCCACAGCTCACAAGTGCCACGGGCCTGGCCTTCCTGCCGTCCAACCCCAGCTTTCTCCTCACCACATGACGCTGGAGAGTCAGCCATAAAGAAAGCAAAAAACAGGACTCTTTGGCAAACTCTTAATGCACAGAAAATCAAAGGCCTCTGTGTCGGGTTCAGGGCTTTGAAAGCTAACACTTGTGCAGAGATGGGGGGGCGGGCTGTGAACAAACACAGGCTAAGCTTTCACTGCCCACCCATTGACAAAGTCACGTGGGAAAGGTTGCCACTGAGATGCGGCCCCTGACACTCTAATACCCCCAGCCCAGGGTTTACCTCCGCACTAAATTCAACACAGGCCACACGTTCCCTGAAATGTTTTTGGGAGGTTGTGGGAAGGAGGAAGTCACCTTCATTTTCTATACCAAAAACAGGGGGTCAGAGGCGGGGTTCACATTTCCCACATCCACAGTCTGATTAGATATTCCAAAACCTAATTATAGCCTGGCAGGTCCAAGGGAGAAAGCATCAGACGGGAGGGGCCAAGGTTTGGCCATAAGCCTCCTCCCTCACCAATTGACTGGGTAACACCTTCAGCAAATCACTTTATCTCTGTCTCAGGCTTGGTCTCCTCATCTAGGAACTGCAGGAGTGGGAGCCCCTAAAATGTCCTGATATTCTTTTTTTTCCTAAAAGCCTCTGTTCTAAGGCCCCTCCTAGCTCTGACATTCCCTGTTCTAAGCTCCCTTCCAGCTCTGACACCTGATGACTAGAGAAGACATTTTCCCAAGTCCTCAGTTTCTCCTTCCCCATACGCTTACCCACAGATAAAGAAGCACACAGAGGCTGCCTGACAAACCGAATCCTTCCTTCGAAGTTGCTAATGCAAATATTTAGGTAACATGCAAGTGACAGGCTTTCTATTTAAAGTAATTCATAGCTGCTGGTCTTGGGAGTGTGCAGCCCACCTTATTTGGTTTACAATATTTGTTCAGATTTTGAGCCTGGACACAATCCAGAGTCAACCAAAGTGGGTCTACTATGTTGGCTTGTCCCCGACCTGGACAAGAGCAGCCACGACAAACACTAGCTTTTTACTGGTGTGAACATAAAGTGTTTTGAGTGTGGAGGCCGTTCTGGAGAAAGAATGACTAATTCTTCTGAACCGGTGTGGTTGGGCCTTTTTAACCCTGGGCAGGGGTCTCTGGAGGCGTGATACAACCAGGGCCACAAGAGACCCAGGTTCAAACCCCAGCTCTACCACTTCCTATCTCTGGAGACCTTAGGTAAGGCTGCTCATCTCTGAACCTCAGTTTCCTCATCGAGGAAATGGGAAGATGTGAACTACATCCCATTGCAGGGTTACGGAGAGGATCCCCTGAGCTAACATTTTCCAGAGAAGCCCCACTCTGAGTATCGTCACAGCATGAAGATGGTCCTTGTTTTTCACAGGCTCTGACTATGAACCCCAAATTCCATCCAGTTCTAGCAAGCTGGGCAGCTTTAAGTATGGCAGCAACCATGGATTGGGTAACTGTACTAGAAGCCCTGACCAACTTAAGGAAGCAGGAGGCTCATCACCAGAAGGGTAGTCATCAAGTAACAGATTCCTTCCACTTCAGCAACCCATGAAGGTTACCTGTCAAAACAAAGAAGAGTTGTAATCTATGTCAGTGGAAGGACTAGACACACTACGGAGATAATGGAGCCCTGAACTGTTGAACCTAGAATGACAATTCCAGTCACCTACCATCAACAAGCATTTATTAAGCGCCTACTGTACTCTAGGCATTAGGGATACAAAGACCAAAAAAAATTGCTCCTGTCCTCAAGAAGCTTCTACTCTATCTCAGGAGACAACTTAAGGCAAGAATTCACCCTTCATCCTGCCCTCCCCAACAAATACATTGCAGAAATTCCATTGTTATTATACTATGAATCAGTCAGTTAATATGTGTTTATAAAGCACCTACTATGCACTAGGCATTGTGGAACTTTACACACACACACACACACACACACACACACACACACACACACACACACACCCCTCACCTCCTTGGGAACTTTTTGCCATCACCCACACAGTGACTTTCAGCATGGAATCCCTTCTACAGACCTTTACTTGGGGCTAGGTCCTTCTACCCACACAGATGACGCTTACCCCTCCAACTTTTCTCTATAGTCACTCCAGGCCGTGGGATCCAACATTCCATCCCCAGGCATGGGTAACATGTTCCCCCAGCTTAATAAATTCATCCCATAAATAGGCCACTCAGACTGGGCTTGGGTTCTTCTCTCACCCTCAACTCTCCCCACCGTGTGTTTGCTATGGCTATTAAAGAGTGTGGCAAACACTTCCCCAAACAGTTCATTTCCCATTTGGGAGGACAGGGAAAGGGGGAGGCAGGTCGTCCCAGGTCACTTGTATCATATCTGCCCCACCCGGGGCTTCCACTGGGCACTCTCACAGGGTCCATATAATGCCCTGAGGCACTTCAGGGTCTTGGAGTCCACTGACCTTCTATATTCTCTGTCCCTACTCTCCAAAACGATGTCTTTGCCCAGGCTTTTGGCAAAGCATCTGCATTGAGTCCATCCTGAGAACCGCCTTTTACATCTGCCCTTGATGACTTCTGATGTCCTGCCAACAAACGGCTGAGTTTATTTTACTGCCCCGTGAACCTCCCGTTTTCAACACACCTGGCTCACACGGCGTGGATGGGGGCATTCATTCAGAGGAATGCATTTTTAACCATTTGAAAAACAAAAACATTTGGGGGGCTTTTTTCCCCGCAATTATTATTATCACAATTACTGTTATTACAGGCTTGCCTTTTAGCCAACATCATGGAATGGTCGGGGTGTGAATGACCGGGTCCACAACTTGAAATTTCCTTTCCTGGGGCGGTGGCCGATGTTCTGCTGACCACAGTAAAAACCTCAACTGCTTATGAAATCGGAGGCAGTCCTGGACAGCCTGCTGCCTCCCCCATCCAGCACGGCAACACTCAGTATGTGCTCTTGTGGGGGGCCTGGCTCAAGTCTGGAGTACCTAATTAATGCTTTTCAGCTGGCCGCACCCAAAAATATTGATGCCAGTGGTTATGTTTGTTTATTTGGCGAGGGGGAGAGGGAATGGGGCCAACCCCAAGCAGATCTCCTTTCGGGCAGAGTTCTCCCTTTCCCATTCTCACCAAAGCTGCAAACTGGACAAGGGCCCTAACAGGAACCTGAAGACTGGCAGCCAGCTTCATTAGATTGATAATTATTATCCTACAAATCCAGCCTTGAGCAAAGAGGGCAGGGATGCCTTTGGGGCAATGGACACAGAAGCTGGTCTCTCTTGTTGACACTATAAACAATGATGATTAGTACTTATATTAACAAATGAACTGAATTAAGAATGGCTGAGGAGGAGTAGGGCTGAAACATAGCAGGGAGATTAACAGTGAGTCCAAACTCTTGCCACTCCCCGCCCCCCGGCTGACAATATTCTCTAGGTGATGGAATGTACACAGCTAGGAATCACGAGAAGATGGAGAAGAGGGAGAGGAAGAGAAAGACAAAGAAAAGGAGGAAGAACAGAAGAACAAACTTGTCACATAGGTATTAAGCGGCAATGCCAAGATTTAAACCCAGGACCTTTAAATCTGGAACTGGTGTTCACTCTATTAGACCATGGTGCCTCTCCCATCTTTTCATACATTTCTCTCTATATAAACAATCCATTGATAAGCAATTATTAAGCACCTATACTTTCCAGGAACCTTCTTAGGTGCTAGGAATACAAATATAAAACTGTCCTTGCCCTCAGAGTGCTTATCTTCTATCAATATTCTCTAACCAAGAGAGTATTGTGAAGGGTGACAATAGAATTGAACCTAAGACAGGGGAATTACAAATCCTATTATTTAAAAAAAAAAAGCCACACCTTGGTAGAGATGGGTTTTACAATTTCCATTCCATTGCTACATCCACTACGTCTCAATAATCCTGTGATGTGTGTCAGACAAACATTACTGTCCCTATTTTACAGATGGGGGAGCTGAGGATGAAAGTAACAATCCACGGAGCAGCTAAGACTTGAACCCAGGTTTCTTTAAGCCCAGTTCCAGTGGTCTTTTCACTATTGTGCTCCATGACTGGGCTACCAGGACAAGGAGCCATGAACGGAACAGAGTGAAGGCAAAAGAACATTTGCTTTGGAGTCAATAGGAGCTGGGTTCCAATTCCAGCACAGACATTCACTACACATGAAATGAGTCTTGAAGGATTCAGAGGATTTCCATGGGGGTATGGGGAACAGAGATGTGCACTGTGGAAAGAGTATGGGCTCTCTGCAGTCCTAGAATCTGGATTTGAATCCCACTTCTGAGACTTACTACCTGGATGGCCTCATACAAAACCCCTACCTTTTCTGGGCTTCAATTTCCTCATCTGAAAAACAGGAACACTGACCTGGATTGCCTCTATGGTCCCTTCCTGCTCTGGGCATATGATCTTAAGGAGTAGAGGTACCATACCGCCTGACCCCGAAATACCATTACTAGTCCTAGGGCCCAAAGAGATCAAAGAAAAAGGAACCAATATATACAAAAATATTATAGCAGACATTGTTGTGGTAGTAAAGAACTAGAAACGAAGGAGAGGCCCCTCCAACTGAGGAAAGGCTGAACAACTGGCGTTGAACGTGATGGAATATGGCATTACTGTGCTCCAAGAAAGGACGAGGGGGGCAGTTTCAAAAAAACCTGGAAAGACTTACATGAACTGGTGCAAAGTGAAGTGAATAGAATCGGGAGAACAGTTTATATAATAACAACTTTATAAAGACAGACTCTGAAAGACTGAATAACTCTGATCTACTCAACCGTAATTCCAAAGGACTGATGATGAAACCTACTGCCTAATCAACTCATGTCCTGCTAAGACTTCTGGTCCACAGTCAGAATATATTTGGGGACCTGGTCAAGGCAGGAAATCGTGCTGCTCAACTACACGTGTTATAACGGTCTTGTTTTTCCTTTCTTTTACAACGGTCAGAGAAAAACAGAGGACACTGGGAAGGAGAAAAGGTGGATTTTTGTTCACTAAAAAAAAAAATTAATTAAAAAAAGAGTAGAGAAATGAAAGGTATGAGCTAAGACAGGAAGGCAATAATTAGCATGGTGTCTAGAACTGAGAGCTGGCTTTGAGAACCAGCAAGGTAAACGGCTAAAGGATGTGGTCTGATTACAAAAAGACTAGAATTCTAGGTTGAAGAGCTGCAACATAATCTGATGGGCAGTAGGAAGCCCCATTGATTCTTTTGAGCAAAGGAGCAATATTTATTTTAATAAGTGGGCCAGAGACTATGTCTGAAAGATACTAAAGTATAGATGGTCGACCTGAAAATAAAATCTTGTCCTAAGCTCCACATAATTCTACCCCCCACTTTAGATTGTAATCATTCCGATGTCCCAAAGCCACCTTCTTCAAAGGCCATACCTACAAAATTCCAAGCATCTCAGAAAAATCAACACTTAAGTCGAGGACCCAGCTGTTCTGTTTACATGGTGACTAACCTCTGGCTTCCCCGGTCTGCTCAGTGCAGTGACCATGTTGGCCACATGTTCTGTGACCTGTGGACTGAACCTGAGGGTTTGGGCACCAGGACTAGAGCGGACAGGGGGGAATGAATGGGGCAGAGAGGAGGGGTTACAGAGAAGCACATTCCTGCTCTACAGAAAGAACAGCTTACTATAATAATTGTTGTTGTCGTCCAAAAGTGGGAACAGCCTGCCTTGTGGGAGTTCCCCTGACAGTGGAGATTGTCAAGAGGATGAGAAGTAGATGAAGATGACTTCTTAGGCATGCAGATAAGCCTGGAGGCCTTGGGGGTTCCTCCTCCTCTAAAACACTAAGATGAGAGCTAGTCTGGCATAAGGGGAAAAAACTGGAATTAATGTCAGAGGGCCAGGGTCCAAAACTATTAAAAAAAAGGGAGTTAGATTAGATGGCCTCTAATTCCATGACTTAGGGTGGCTAGATGGCACCACAGTGCATACAGCACTGGGCCTGGAGTCAGCAAGACCTGAGTTCAAATCCATCCTTAGATTCTTAGTAGCTGTGTGACCCTGGGCAAGTCGCTTAACCCTGTTTGCCTCAGTTTCCTCCTATGTAAAATGAGCTGGAGAAGGAAATAGCTAACCACTCCAGTATCCTTACCATGAAAACCTCCAATGGGGTCGAGAAGAGTCAGACAACAACAAAACTTTATCATCCTGCAACCTGTGTGACCTCTCTGGGTCTGTTTTCTCTTCTGTAAAAATGAGGGGCTTGGACTATATGGGCCCAAAGGTCCTCTCCAGCTTTGAGGCGATGTCCCTGCGATTGGAAGGTACTGCCAAAAAGGACCTGAGGGAGTCCCATAGCGAGCAGGTCCTCCTTCATCCCTGGGAGCACGGCGAAAAGGGTCACCCAGCACTGCTCCCACCTCCCGGGCTCTGTCAATGTTCCTTTTGTAAAATGTAGAAATTTGCTTCCAATCTGACAGCCACCACCTGCACAAATAATCTTGGTGGGTAATTCTGTAACTGAATACATGCACTGAAAGCTGCCGAGTTTGAAGTCCACCCCGCCCCAAATCCCTTTGACCTCCTACTTAAAGGCTCTCTAATCACTTTCTAATTTAGAGTTGATTTCCTTTCTATAGGCCTGCTTTATAGGATTCTCTTGTTTTGAGTATCTAGGAGGGAAATGGATTACATTAACTCCCTTCATTAAAATGGAAGTCAGGCTTGGGCCAATGATGCTCAAGGTCTGGCAGACTTGTCTGAGACCTCTCCAAAAGGTACAGGGAAGAGTGAGCGTGAAGGGGAAGAAAGCAGCTTTAGAAGTAACCTCTCACTGAGAGAGGGCTGAAGCTGGGGTTGAAAACATGAAATCCAGATCTTCCTTTCTCCACCTCCCTCCTGCTTCAGAGCATCTCCTCAAAGGCTCTGCCTCTTGCTGGGATCTTCTCCAGACTACACTGCACTGGGTACCCAGCCAGGGTCACCTCCCCACAGCACCCAAACAGGAAGGCCATCAGTCTGCCATGTCTGGTCCATACCAGGGATCACCACCACCAGGCAGCCTCCCAAGGTACCATAAAGACCAGTGTGGCCTATGGCTCTAAACGAGAGTAGTCAGACTTACCGATCTTTGGGGAGAGAAACAAAGCTTCAGCTAGCAAACCCACAACAGACAAAGGCAAAAACATTACTACTGTTATTATAAGTGATGCTGATGGCAATAAAAATAGCTCACACTTTCAGAGTGTTTTAAGACTTGCCAAACAGTTTACAGGGAACAACATCTCATGTGATCCTGACAACAAGTTTTTGAGTCCAGAGACTGCTCTTTCCTCTGTCCCCCAAAGAGGTCTGATATACCAGAGAGCCCAGAAGTGCACAGAGGTACCCACAAAGTACAAGACTTCACAGGGGGACCTTTTTAGGAAGGGGCAGATCAGGGAGGGCTTCATAGAGGAGGCATTGAAAGTGGTCCTCCAAACTGAAAAACTTGGAGGATTCCTATAAACAGAAAAAATAGAAATGTAGTCCTAAGTGTGCAAGGCACACTCACGCAAATGAGTTTTGGATTATCTGTTGTTTTCCATTACATGTGTGATCCTCCACTGCCAGGTGGTGACCCATCACTATTTGGAAATGTACTATATTAACGTGGCTGTCACTGGAAAGAGACTGGCATTCTTAGGGTTTCACGGGACCCAGGGCTAGGCTGGCTGAGCTCCCAGAGCTCCCCAAACTGCCACCCTGAGGATGGATGGCAGCCAAAGTTTGAGGAAGGCCAGCCTACTCCAAAGTGCAGAGGCCAAGAAATGAGCGATAGGAAATTGGGGGGAAAAAATCTGGACTTTATCAAAGTCATCTAATCAGGAGAGGAAATGTCTTATCTGGGGCAGAGGTTAGAACCTGTGGCAGGAAATCACCAGCATGGAGCAAATGGACTTGGAAGGCAGCAGATGAGGGTAGGAGGCCCCTGTGGATCTGCTGACTGTGGAAGATATGGTGTTCTTGGTCAGGTCATTCCCACACCACCTCCCACCACCTTCTGGGCCCCAGGCTCCTCATTAGTAAACGGAGGTTACCATGCCAACCTCCGAGGGCTGATGTGAAGATCCAGTGGGACCAGAGATGTGAAAGCACTTTGTAATTATAAAACCTCCTGTAAATGTCAGCGATTAGCCATATTGTGATGAATTAGAACAACAAATTGGAGAACAAATGAACTCACTCCACTGTGATCATTTCCTTGTTAATGAGAGTTCTGTTAATGAGCTAGTAGCTAGCTTTCTATCTGCAGATGTCACTGCAACCCAAGAGGAGAAGGAACAGGGAAGGTGGGATTATCTTAGCACAGTCACTTACAAATAAGGTTCAAATAAGAAAACAGACACTCAATGATGCCAGGTATCAGTAAAGGGAACTTGGACTTCCAAATGGAAAGCCCAATGGGTAGGATGGTGGACCTGGAGGCAGGAAAACTTGGGTTCCAATCCCATTTCTGCCCCTGGGTATCTAGGTGGCCACAGTGCACAGAGCACCATGCCTGGAGTCAGGAAGACCCCTCTTTCTGAGTTCAAATCTGACCTCAAACACTCACTAGCTGTATGACCCTAGGCAAGCCATTTAACCCCATTTGCCTCAGTTTCCTCATCTGTAAAATGAGCTGCAGAAGGAATTAGCAAACTACTCCAGCATCTCTGCCAAGAAAACTCCAAATGGGGTCACAAAGAGTCAGACATGACTGAAAAATGCCTAAACAATGACAACAACATGTATGTGGACATGGACAAGTGACTACTGGTCAAATCTAGGAGCCTCAGTTTCCACACCTGCAAAATGGGGATAATACCTGTCATAACTAATTCAAAGGAATCGTTGAGAGGTCCAAATGTTATCACCCATGAGGAACTCAGGAGAGAGGGATGGAGGGAGGGAGGGAAAGAGAGAGAGAGAGAGAGAAGTTTTCACTCTGTGGCTGTTTTGTCTTCATCCCAGGAATCATTATCAGCATTAATACCGTGAGGTATTAATGCATGTAATGCTTTATCAACAGGCTGGGAGGGAAGTGCTATTATGCTATCATTTTGAAGATGAGGAAGCTGAAGCTGAGAGAGGTCACGTGACTTGCTCAGGGTCACACAGTTAGTAAAAGTCTAAGTTGGATTTCAACTCAGATCTTTTGGACATTTTCTACCTAAGTATCTTCCCTCTGAGATGACTTTCCATTTACTCTGTATATAATCTCATCAGTATCCAGTAATTTAGGAGTCTCTCTTTAAATTAGCATTTAAGCCCCTTGAAGGCACGGTTGATTTTTGCCTTTCCTTCTATGCCCAATGCTAATTAACAAAGTATCCAGAAGAGTAAGTTCTTGACAAGCTTGAGGACTATCTTATCTATACTATACTTATTACTGTTTGGTGTTTATGGCTGCAACTCTCCCAAGCACAACCTAAGATCCCTGGGTCTCCCATAGAACAAGATAGCAGAAGAGACAGGGCTATGGCCCACCCCTTAATTATGTGCAAATCTAGGACTTCCAGGACCACCAAGGCTGTTCCCCACCCTTCCAGTTAACTGAGAATTCAGGCAGTGGCTCACCCTGCAGGAGAGAATGCATCTCAGTACTGAAGCAGCAGGAAGCTCCTCTCTGCTCCAGAGGGGTTCAGTCTGCCAAACTTCTCCCAGAAGCCACTGCTGGCTGATGCCTTTTCCAGCTGTTCAGGTAAAGGGTGGCTCCAGGGGGCCTGGAGGGAGCGTTCTTCCTCAGCCTCTGAGGCCAGGCCCCTGTTTTGTTCTTCATTGTCCCCACACAGGGGGGGGCAACTCTGAGCCTGTCTCTTTGTCCCGGGAGAGGTTGGGACATAGAGGTTGGGACATAATGTCTACAGTGTTCCTTTAAAAATACAAGTGGATTGCTAGCAACTTCCCATTCCAGCCTGTCTGCAACAATGACCAGTCAGGCTGTCCAGCAATGTGTGAATAAATAGGGGATGGGGGGGTGGGGAGAAGGTTAAAGCAGCCAGAGGGAATTGAGAGTCTTCCCCTCATCCCACCTCCCACCAACCACCAAAGCTCCCCCCTCCATGGCAGTAAATGTCGACAAAGCCCCCAGTGTTCTCTCCCCCCTAACCCCACCACCCCCATTCAAGAAAGAGGGCGCTGTGCCAAGTAACGTTACTCCCCCTCACCATGGTATTGGCATGAATGCGGCCTGGTATGTTTGCTGAAAAATCGCTGGTTTTCATGGAAATGCTGGTCCCACAACAACCCCCTTTTGTCAGATTGGAAGTGAAAAGAGGAGTTCTCTGATGAGGACTGAACTGTAACAAAGGACATGGGCTGGCTGGGCCATCAGGCTACAATTCCTCAAAGGCCCAGGACCCCTTCCAGGCCTGCTTTCCCCCCAACCTGGCTTTCCCTCCCACGTTCTCCCAGGACAGTCATCCCCCCAGCCAAGAGTCCTTCTGGGTCCCTCCTGCACACAGTTACAGGGCCTGGAGCTGTGGGGTTTTGGGTTCTGGGCTCAGTTCTGAGATTTACGACTCCGGGGCAGCCTCAGCCACTTTGAGCCCCAGTGTGTTCATCTGTGAAAGGAGGTAGTTGTACCCATCAATGGGGTAATGACTGAACAAACTGGAGTATATAGAGGAAATAGAAAATTATGGGGTTGTCAGGGGAATAACAAATAGGAGGAATTCGGAGAACCCTGGCAGGCCTTACGTGAAGGCTGCAGAGTGAAGTAAGCAGAACCAGGATGACTGCAATCATGGAAAGGGCAAAAGAAAATCAAATGCAGCCAGGTTCTATATAATTGGAAGGACTGACCCTGGCTCCCCAAAAGGAGGATTTCCTCTGAGAGGGAATAACAAAGATGCAGAATAAGGGGGGGGGGGAGGCGCGGCTGGTTTCTTTGGCTTAATTTACTTTTCCTTTATGACAAGAGAAACCCTGGTCTGGGGGAGAGATCCAGAAATGACTGATGTAGAAACAAAAGAAATCAATAAAAAAAAAGTGTAAATTAAATAAATAACATTTTAAATAAAAATTCAAAAAGAAACGAAGGATGGAACACTAAAAAACCTCTGAAGTCCGTTCTAGATCCTGTACAGGGAGGTAAGTTTACAGTCGCTGTTGTAATAAATATGTTATATACACACATAAGTATATGTGTATGTATGTATATGGGCAGCTATGTGGCGTGGGGCCTGGAGTCAGGAAGAGCTGCCTTCAAATCTGACCGCAGACATTTACTAGTTGTGTGACACTAGGCAAGTTATTTAATCTTGTTTGCCTCAGTTTCCCCATCTGTAAAATGAGCTGGAGAAGGACATGGCAAACCTCTCCAGTATATCTCTATCAAGAAAACCCTCAATGGGGTCACAACTGAAACTGAACAACAACAAAATGTGTGTGTGTGTATATAGGTAGGTAGGTATGTATGTATGTATGTATGTATGTGTGTGCCTGTGCTTATTCACTGAACAGCCAAGAGACAGCTTTGGCATGGTCTTTCTGCAAAGGAAGAAAGCAAGCTGGGGGGGAGTGGAAGGGAGTTGGATAATGTCTCCTTCTTCCTTACCCCAAATTATGATCTTTTTTTTTTATTGTAGTATCAGGAGAAAAAATAGCTTTCACTTATGTAGTACAAATTGCATTCATTATATCATTGAGCCTCAATATTTATCCATTCATTCAACAAGCATTCGATTTTTTAAGCCTCTAAGGCAGCCCAGGGCCCAAGGATTCCAAAGACAGAAATGAAATAAGTCCTGCCCTCAAGGAGTTTACCTCTAAGGAAAGGAAACAATGTGTACATTGATAAACAAAAGCTAAACAGATACAAAGTAATTTCCCAGCTGGGTATATTCTAAGAGGGTGAAGGGTGAGGGAGGGAGGGGCAAGGGCCTTCTGGGCAGAAGGAACAGCCAATTCAGAGGCCTAGAGACAGAAGGCTGAGTGCCATGCCTGGGGAGCAGCGGCCTGTGGGCCGGCTCTTACTGGGCACTTAGTCTGGAAAAAGAAGCTGAACCAGATTGTGAAAAGGCTTTAAGGGTAAGCCGCGGACCTTTATTCCAGAGGAAATAGGGAGCCATGGGAGCTCCCAAAGCAGGGGAGCAGGCACTTGGCGGAACAGTTCAATTCCACCGACATTTATAAAA